AGCAATCTAGCTTACTAAAATCAGGATTTTTGTTTGTGGTTATGCACAAATTAGATAAATCTAAGTAGTTGTTATATGGTTTGTTTTTAATGTTGTAGCCTCTTAATAGCTCACTTGTGATCTAGTTGTAAACACCTTCAGAAGCAAGAAATTTTTCTTCCGATATACAGACTAACCATTTCTGCTCTTAGACTTTAAAATAAGCAAGCAAACACACCAGTTGTAATGCTTAATGTAACCTAAAGGGCAGGCTTGTCAACGCCAAAGCTCAGGACTTGGTCCCACCTTTTCAAATGTCTTTGATTAAGACTCACACTTGAGGTGGACTCAAGAATATGGTTTCTTATAGGCCAATAGTCTGAAGAACAAGATGGAAAACACACCACTACTTTCTGTGTCTAAGAGCTGAATGAATCACAAAAAGGCCAAAAATACTTAGGAATGGTTGGTTCTTACCTGATGCAGCCTTGCAGAGTAAGTCTGGTATCATTTTCAATGTCTGATCTCAGAACTTTTGAGATCAAAGTGAGGAAGGCCTAGTTTCTTTTCTTGTCACAGTTGCAGAAAAAGGATGTTCTGGGTGAGGAACTTCAGTTTAGGATAGCAAGTATAGAAAATTAACATTCAGTCCACCCATAATGGATCTCTTATGGATAATCCTGCTGGAGCACAAAAATAAGCATGGAACTATGGCTCTAACCCTTTTTCACAAAGTAAATAATAGGTTTCCCATATAAACTTTCCCAACTCCCAGGCATGGCCTAACTCCCTCAACTTCCGTAATGCCTCCATTCCTTTAGGTTTTCAAGTCTTCATCTTGGAATGTCAGGATACTACCTTCAGCAGTTTACTTATCTTGAAAATCGACAAAGGCCATTAGTAACCAAGACAAGGAGTAATGGTTTTGTTTGCCACCCTGTACAGATTTTTTTTTTCAATTGTGTACAGTGAATGACAAAAGCAATTGCCACTGTAAGGAGCAATTTCTTTGGTATTTTCAATACCTCAAAGCTTAGAGATTTATTTTCTCATGGAGTCAACTGCCTTTTGTCCTTTTCACTCAACTTTTATGGTTAATACTTCGAATTCACTCTCCTGCTTTCTCATTAATAGAACACCAGTTTTATTCAGAGCAGCAATGCATACAGCTTCAACATGGTATTTCTCAGCTTCTCTTATTGGGCGGGGTTATGGAAATTAGAATATTCCAAAGTGTTCTGCAACTTTTTCTGGATCTTAAAAGGGGAACCTTTTTATTTTCCATGCTGCCCAGGATCCAAGAATAAAACCTGAAATTCCCACAACCATATTTGACCTTGGGGTATAACCAGGTGCTGGGGATAGAAAAAAATTTCTAAATTGCCTAAAACTTCTATCATAAAGCTACACTTCCCAAAGATCTGTATTGGTTCTCTAGACATCACTGATATGAGCACCACAAAATAAACTACAAATAACTATTAAATTTCTTGTAACATGAGCAAAAACACCTTATAATGCTGATTTATAAAAATATTATTAAATATGTAACTGTTTGCAAGCTATAGGGGCTTGTTCCCTGTGGACTACAGAATAAAGTAGTAAATAAAAATGTTAAGTGTACTCTGAAAGCAAAGTTATCGGGGAAAAGGTACACAGGAGGGATTTGTTAGATGGGACAGCAGACAATACAGAATATAAACTATGGTTAGATAAACATGAAAAAAGAGAATATACTTTAAAAAACCAATGTGCATAGTAACCAAATATTTTTCAAGAGAATAATGATCACTGAAATTAAAGACTACAAATGCAAGAAGCATGAACCTAAATTGGGTACTCATTTGGGAAAAACACAAACTATGAAAAATATTCTTAGGAACTGTTGGGGAAACCTAAACATGGACTAGATATATTATGGAATTATGGTTAACTTTACCAAGAATGTATCAGAGATGAAAAGCACAAAAAGTGGTAAGAAACTTTACACCTCCCATCAATTACTGTTCATTTTACTACAGTACTTTAAATACCAAAAGTACTATTTGTAGGTATATTTTTATGTAACTGTTTATAATCCAGACATTTTGTCCTTGAGTTTCTTCTAATCAGAACATCAAAAAAGGCTATGTGACATTAACTTTTTAAACTTTTCTATAGACTTAAGTCTTCACACATTACAGAATGGAATTCTGCTGGAAACTTTCTGGGAGGAAAATCCAATACATACACCACATCACACCAATTAATCTTGCAGTATTCTAATACTGCATTTTTACCAAGTCTATCCTTGCCATGTCTTTTGGCATCAAATCTGCATCCTAGATCCTATCATAGACCTGATTCAATGTGGGGTGAAGCCACATTGATTCAATGTGGGATGATAGCCAGTGAAGTTTGAATTCACACTTTTTTTCATTACTTTCTGCTTTTTTCCCCAACTCTTAAGGTATTAACTGCAAGATGTACTTTTATGCACCATCAAGAACAAGTAAACACTTTCAACTATGACAATAGTCCTTACTAAAAATAAAAATTGGTTACAGAAACCTTTTTGAAACTTCAGTATCAACTTCTTATAAATAAAATTGCACTGCTTGGCATTTGGTGAACAATTCTTTGCATTATAGCTTATGGACAGTTTCCCTGCTTAGGTCCCAAGAAAAACTTGGTTGCCACTAATGTAAGAAAATATGGAAGTGTGATTATTCTTCCAATGATTATTTCCTCCCCTCATCAAGTTTATATCCTTCTGCCTTCGTATGCCTTTTTGCATAGAAGTAAACATTTTGTTGCTGACCAATCTAAGACACTTTTAATATTTTTTGTAAGACAATTTTAAATAGCAATAAATGCATAGAATTATTGAGTTCACACATGGACAAGCAGGGAAATATATCAACAGTACTGCCTAGCCACTACAGTTTTTAAGGTGCCACAGATTTTCAGACATGCTAAAATGACAGAACTGCATCCTACTGTTGATATCCTCATAACTGACTCAGGAATTAGCTTTTGTGATACCATTTTCAGTTCAAATGACTTGCCTATGATTCTAATGGGTGTCTAAACCAAGATTCAGACATACTTAAGAGACAATTCCTGTTCTCTCTCACGATTTATAACAACTGAGACGCTGCCTTGTTGCAAGAGTTAAACAACACCGAGCCAAACATTTCAAAAGGCCAGTTTACCAGTATGCTTTCTTGTAAAACACGTTGAGGCTGGCCTGATATGATTAACTTTTATTCAAGCAAGAAATGCCCACAATAGATTTAATTTTCTATTAGCATGTTCTCATTTTGGCCAAAGTTTGGTTTCTTTAACATTCAAAACATATCAAGGTAGGCAATGGGGCTGTAGGGTAGAACATTATACATAACCACTGATGGAAAGCTGATTTCAAATACAGCATATGATTTGAAACTGAACTCTTTTAACTGTTCCAAGAAAACTTATTTATAGGCAAACACCAGTAAGAAAATCAAAGCTTTTAACAAAGCTAAAGTATTAAACAAAGTACTTCAATATTCCTCTCTGTATATTTAAAACATCTTACTATTTGTTGTTTTAAAAAGACTTTTATGCATGATTATATTCTACTGAAATAATGCCAATCTTTGCCAAAGACCTATATAAAAAGTTAGGAGAATAGCAATTATACGAAGTTGCTGCTTCTCCACAAACATGAGGCACTTCAAATGCTTAGGTTTTAGTTTAGATGTATAGAAAGCTAATTTAATCACCTGGAAACAGGCTCACCCAAGCAGGTTTCCTTTTTCTATTCCCTTTTCATATTTTGTAGGGACTCTACAGCTTTGTTACCCCCAGCTCCTAACCAGAAGAAAGATGCTTTTTAACTGCAAGTAAAGGTAAAATGTGCGCCAAGCTGTCACAGGAGGGATTTGTTTCTTGGGAACAGAAGGTATCTCAGGAACATGTTCATTTTATACAAGTGCTGCCTTTACTCAATAACCTTAAAAATAATACTTGGAAGTCAACAGTTATCAAAACTCATTTAAAAATGTTACCTAATACCTAAACATAAATAACCACTTTCATTAATACAGGAATAAGTTTGAGCCAATAAAGGGAAAATAAATGTAAACCAAGTTTATTTTGCTTTTTAAGTAGTGTTCTTAAAGCACTACAGCTTGGTAAACAATGTAAATTAGTATAAGTCATCTCAAAAGCCAGAGTTCTGTTTTGTTTGTTTTTAATGAGTTGTTAAAAAGATGCAGCCTATTCTAACAGGATAAATATTTTTAACCATTTCACTTTGAGTTAATGAAGGCTCACAAATGAGCAACACTCCTCATTGAGGAAAACAAAAAGCTGTTGTCGACAAGCGACAGCACACACACACAAAAACAAAAAGAACTGTGTAAAAATAACTAACTGTGTTCCCATATTTTTTGAAGTCGTTTACAATGGGATGATATGCACATGATCTTGCTGCAAACTTGCCATACAGACTTGTAATACATGTAGTCTAGACAAACAATTCAGTCCAAGAGGTGCTAACTTCAGACAATGCAGCACTATAATCCTTTTAACAACGCAATCTGTTTTACTCATTATCTTTTCTTCTAGACTGAAATACAGGCTAGAAAGAAAATGCTCCCTAATTAAAAACTGGTATTGTTTACAGGAAAAAATTGTATACTTTTGCATCAGAATTTACAAGTATATGTTCAAATTGGATTTGCCTCCTCCCCCCATCCCAGCCACAAAATGGGGATGAAGTTAAAATTTTTAAAAATGCCGTAATTTTCAACTTCATGCAAACTAAATAAAGATGACCAAAACAAAAGCTTAAACAATGGAAGGATATTTCACAGAAAATTTCTTATACAAAAAACACATAAGAAAAAGGGCCACTAGGTGACATTTTAATTTACAAATTGGCATCATTTTGGTCGACAAATATCCAGATGCTGTTTTCATCTGCTAACAAGAGTTGCAGAGGAAAAGAAAAAAAAGAAGAAGAAAAAAAAAACAACCCAGCATGACTTCTGATTTTAATCACACATTTCTTCTGGAATCTCATGTGGATTGAGGATGCCTGGGACAGACATCTGAAGTTTGTGTTTCTCTTCCTGAGCCTGTCGAAGGGCTGTTTCTCGTTCTTCCAAAAAGAGATCTGATGTATCTTCACCTGCAAACTCCTGTGAAAAGATAGTTAACTGTCATCATACTTAGCAATTGTAATTTATCCATCAATTGTTGGGCTTAAATTATATATATAATTCCACACAGTTGAATTAAAAACTAAATGTGTTAGTTGGGAGGGAAAGATTACAAAAGAGGGATAGTATAATGCCCCATATAAAACATACTTCAAGAGCAATGATAATAAGAAAGACTAATGATCAAGTTTAAATATATTATCATTGTCCTCATAGCTATGTTATCAATTTTCATCCTTTATAACTCTATGAATTAGCTCTTTTTTTACGCTTAATTAAAAAAAAAAACTTTGTATTTTGGAGGGGGAAAAAACCTGCGTATGTTATGTGATCAATTCTTATTTAATAGATAAGGACAAGAATTCATCAACTCTTTTTGATTTCTTTAAAACACGATGTCATACAACAAAAATTCCTCTTCCCCTAAGTCAACAAAGCATTGTAACAGCAGTAAAAAAAGACAGGCTGGTATCTGCTAATCGTCATGGTTCCCCCTAAAATGAATTCTTTACTAACAATGTGGAAAATTCCAAGAGGAACTATCAATGTATTTCCTTCCCCCCACTCCTTTAAAAATATCTATGGGATTCAATCACAATGTTGCAATAGACATAAGTTACCGCGAACATTTTAAACCTATCTCCTCTTCTGGCCTTGATTTAAAGTTTTCCTTTCTGTAATCTATCTCAAAAGAGTAAGACTGTACGTATTTTAAAAGCACACTTATTTTGCTCATTACAAAAAGTGGTCAATTCTGGATGCAAGAATTCAATCAGTATTTACTCTCAATATTTCTGAAACTGCAAATAAAATACGTACCTTTATCTGTACCAGGAAATCCCGAAGATGTTCCTTGAATGCAGGAATATCCTGATTTAAGCTGAAAAGTCCTGTCACAAAGAGCTTTACTTGAGCGCTGCAAGTTAAAACACAATGATTAATCACTTAAAAAAAAACCCTGAAAAAATTTAAGTTTATAAAAAGGGATATTTACTCTTGTAGATGAGGGAATGCGGACTTAAGAAGATTAGCCACATATTCCTGAATAAACATTTGGTTGTTAACTGGATTTCCAGGATTTAATGGTGTACTTATTTTTCCTTCTTCAACCAAATTAAACATATATGCAAGGATAGATGCATGCATTGTTAAACCTGTTGATAAGAAGGACATCATTAAACTCTAAGATGTAATAACAATCAGAAGGAACATAGAATTTTTACAGCTTTAAATTCTTACCAGCAGTATGCGAGGTGTCTGTCACAACAGAGAAGATATGCTGAAGAATATCACAAAAATAAGTCTGATAAAAACTCTGAGCTGCAGCTTCTTCTTGTGCAACATTTTGTAACAATGTAAAAAGTATCTGTAAGCCTAAAAGACATATAAAGCCAACCAAGTTATTTCATACTGACAACATTCACAATAGTACTTCAGCTATTAAACAATTCAAAGTCCCTCTTTTTTTTTTCTTAAACTGAAGACATTTCCCTAAATTATCTTGACTCAGTAATGGAGTTAACTTAGAATCAATGACTACTTACTTACAGACTAATCTAACCATTACCACCTTTCCATTATTTCTTAAGGTTTAGTTGATTCTCTCCACATCCATTACTGATGCACTCAAACAAAACCATGACAAGTGAAGTGATACCTCTTGTCTGCAACTATGAATACATAGATGGGGGTCTGTCTTTAAGTGTCTGTATGTGGATTGTGGGTTGGTAGGCAAATGAATAAAGAACATCATTTTTATGTTATTTACCTGTATCTGCTACATTCCTCATGGTATGTTTGAAAGCCCAAATAATAGAATCCAAAACAAGTTTAAACTGTGCAGGTGGAATAGCCAGGAACGCTGGGAAACAATGAGAATTGACAGCCTGAAGTAGTAAGAAAAAGTTCGTTCTGTGTTCAGGATATTCTTCAAAGTCCTAAAAACAAATGGTGGGAACAAAATAGAAGTTTCAATGCCTTAAACTGTATTAGATGGAAGAGGGAAAGCAAGCCCTAATTCATTATAGATATTTGGAGTTGTCAGTGGACCTAAGGTATATGGCCTACTGAAAGTAGAACTCACAGATAATACAATTCACCTGGTAAGGGAGAACGAAATTACTATCCACTACACAAATGAATTGTCAATACGAAGGAATACAAGGTCATCTTATTATAAAGAGAACTTAACAAAACCCACAAAGACTGTCACATTTTCTATTAGCATTGAGACTTGCTAAAGATGTGTTACCACTTTAAAGTGACTATGAGATCAGTAACAGATTAGAAAAGTCTACTGTGTAAAATGTGTACACGTTTATTTACATGTTTTTCTTTTGGTTAATACATTTCCCCATTCTTTATAAGCATATACTACACTTTACTAAAAACCCAGTGACTAAAATGTTTCAAGTTTTAAATAAATGCTAGCTGCTATTTGAATAAAAAACTTTGGCAAATTTAAAAACAAGTACTTTTCTAAAGAACTTTTCTTATCTAGACGTTCAAATGTTTTAACATCAGAGCCTAAAATTTATGCTATGCTCATAGACAGCCATCATTTACGCTTTTAAAAGTTATATGAGTAACTGTAGAACTTGCCATTATGTAACTGAAATGTAAATTGCATACCTTATTTATCATATTCAATGTGCACTCAAAAACAGCATCAAATATTTGAGGTATTTCAGCTGTTATATGTCCTCCTAACTTGTTGACAATAATAGCCATAGTACTAAGTACTTCTGGCTCTCTAGCAGCTGGGACATTTCTCTGGTAATCAATGAGAACTGCATCCAACAAAGGAGGAACAAAATTTTCAGCTACCTGTTTAATAAAAATAAGAAAACTTTTAATTTTAATCCAGGCACTTGCTAACTCTTACTAAGCAGCGAGGTCAATGTCACCTTGTAAGACTTAATTTAGGTTGATTATCTACTGAAAAATGGAAACTCTTATGGCTTTAATTCTGGTGTATCAGAACTTTACAAAGAAAAATCAAGAACTCAAAATAGGCAGAAAAGGGCCATGGACATTGTAGTTTAAATCTATACTTATTAAAGAAAACTGGGGCCTGAAAACAAGTGACTAGCTCTAAGTATTATGGCAGGACCAGGATTCTAGGGATACTGTGTGTCTGTGTGCGAGGCGTGGGGAGGGTAAAGCCTAACTGTACACCAAAGTATTCATATCTAACCAAAATCAGACATCCACCATCAATGCTTTTTTAAATTTAATGAATGCGAACCGATAGTTTGATAATCAGAAAAAATAACCATTACTTACTCACAAAAAAGGAACTACACTATGCCAGAAAAACCATGGTAGACTTTCTGAGATTCCCAATAAACAGTCTAAGGTGTAAACTTTTATGTTTTATAATACATCCTCCATTAAGATGTGCTCAATAAATACGATCATGTTTCATTTAACTAAACATTAGTAGTGTCCCAATACACAAAACAGGCCTAGCAAGATTTGAAGGATAAGCACAAAATTATTTTTCTTTTACTTACTAGGTTTTCTCTTAACTAGAACCGATTCTCCCTTCTTTTTCTTCCTTTAAGTTCTACTCAGAAGTGATTAAGTTGTACAAGTTTACTTACACACATCATGAAATGATTATAGAAGATAAGTTTAGTGATCATCATAGATATTTTATATATAACACCTCATATAGATACAAACAGAAAAAAAGTTGTGATAAAAATGTTTTAAGGTTTACTCAACTTTCTTATAAAACATACAGCAGTGTAAATTTTATACACCAGGTTTGTACATTACATCCTTTTTTTGACCTACAACATGACATTGCTTATTAACACAGTCTAGTGATTTAATATTTTTATACATTCTAAAATGATCACATTAAATCTAGTTATGGTCTGTCACTATAAAAAGATATTAGTTCTTGACTATTATACACTATTTCCCATACTGTATACTTCATACCCATGCCTCATTTATCCTTTCCTTGCCCACTCTCATATTTCCACTCTTAACACTGAATTTATTTTCCTACACACTGGATCTGAATTATTTGACTATCTTTGAATTCACAGCCCCAAAGTTCAACATAAATCTTAGCTGCAAACTAGTTTGATACCTTGGTAATTTCCTGAAAAAATTTTCCAGTATCAATAGGAACAATAATGAAATATCAAATTTATGAAAGTAAGTAGCACAGTTTTCAATGCTACTTCCACACAATAGGGATGAACAGGAAAGGATTTATCATAATGTTCCAAGGACCCAAAGAACAAAAGGTTTAACAATAACTAAACATAAATAGCTCTCTCAAGTTTGGAGAGAGCATTTGGAGCTAGTTAGTTTCTGAAAACCATTTAAGACTGACAGGAATAAGACAACAAAAGAGACCTTTAACTAGGAAACTGCTTATTCCCACTAAGGTGGTAAACAGCTTTTATGACAGCTTTACAAATTACTCCCAAAACCATCAGGAAAAAAAATTTCATTTGAACTCTATCCATGGAAAATAAAAATGACCCAAAAACATCACCACCCTCCCCGTACCAACAGAAATTTCTTTGGAAGAAGGTATATATCTTGGGCTTCCCTGGTGGCTCAGCGGGTAAAAGAATCTGCCTGCAACGCAGAAGACCTGTGTTCGATTCCTGGGTTGGGAAGATCCCCTGGAGAAAGGATCTTATTATTTTAACAAACTCCAATAAATAGAATGCTATAAAGTAACACCAAATGTAAACATCTAAATTACCTTTTAAATAGCTAAATGCACGCATTGTAGAGAGTGCAGTATCAACTTTAAAAAACAAAAATGACATCTCACTTACCATCTGTGGATCATTAGACCGGCTCACCCAACCAGATATTAACTTTAAAGTTTCTCTTTTTACTGTTCGCATACTTCTAATCAATGGTTGCTTTGTAACCATCTCACCTAAAAAACAGAATCAGGTGGAATCCAATTTGACAACTAAAATTCTACATTGGCAGTTACATGTACTTCAGATAATATTTGTTTCCACTCTCCATTAGAAAACCGAAAGACAAAGAGTGCTAGTGCTCATTTATGTCCAACTCTTTGCAACCCTATAACTATAGCTTGCCAGAATCTTTTGTTCCCGGGATTTTTCCAGGCAAGAGGACTAGAGTACTAGAGTGTGCTGTCATTTCCTCCTCCAGGGGATCTTCCCGACTCACGGATCACTGGCAGGCGGATTCTTTACCACTGAGCCACCCAGAATGCCCCCCAAAACGAGAGGACACAGATTAATTTCCTGGGAAAACAGACATTTTATAAGGGAAAGGGGCAAGTGCGACTCATTAAAAATTGTTGAAGATTGCCAGCATGGGAGGTATTTTGTCAAAAGTGCTAAATGCTTACGGCTAAGGCAGTGAATGTAGAACTGACTTAATATATCATTCCATGAGAATTCAGAATTGCTTACCATTAGCTTGAATAGCTGCAGAAATATTTTCACTGAGGCACTTGTATACATTAAGCATATCTAAATAAATTCTCCCAAGCTGAATCACAAATGGATGTCCAACTGCTTTGCAAGCTCTCACATTTGTTTTCAGTATGCTACCAAGCTGCTTGACTGTTTCAGGATCTTTAAGTATATCCACATTCTGTAAGAACAAACCACAACTCCATTTATTGTAACAGAATTCTTTTTGCTGAAGCAAAAAAAATTACCCACATTACTACAAACCACCATCACATATATAATCCTAAAGTGTAAAAGTACTGCAAAAGTCTTTATTACTAAAGAATGGAGGAAAGTATTTCCCAAAATATCATCCAAACAGAATAAAAATGTTACCATTCTTTCAATGTGCAAAAGCACACAAAGCACTATGGATCAGATATACATGTCAAGGTACTAAATTTACTACTTTTGTAAATGTAACCTTCTTAGATTCCATCAGAACTTTTACAAAAAGTAACTAAAACTTACTTTGGTTGCTTGCTGGATTATGCTGTCCCAAACCTGATTAGGAAGTAGCATATATTTTTCTATCAAATGTTCTTGTACTGTTTGGTCTGTTTGTGCACCAATCATGTACCCCACAGCTTCATAAAATGTATGGACCTATGTTAAAAGACAGACATTTCACTTGTATGCATCATAATAAGGAAAATCACATACAAACAATTCACTTACACACTTCAGCTAATTTTGTTAACAAGTCAGTGATAAAACAGTAAATCAGTTTAACACACTTCTGATTGAATTTCTGCCTATCAAAATTAGAACACAGAAACACTTGAATTTTTAATCCATTAGTGGCCTTCTACCCCCATTAATGAATTCCCATTAAAGCAGTAGTTATTTTCTAAGAAAAATATGCTTACTGAAAAAAAGAAAAATATGCTTACTGATACACATACCTGTTGAGGCTGAAGATCACAAATTATAGTGTTAATGTTGTTCAAAATCTCATCAATAAATGGCATTACTTCTCCAACCTGAACCTGAACGAAATGCCTGCGGCACTTTTGCGCTATTTTAATGAAAGTATCACAAGCCATGTCCTGGACTCCATCGTGGGTCTCTTAACAAAACAAAAACAAATATCAAAAAAAAAAATTCAAAAAAATTTAGCTTTTTCCATTAAGCAAAAATAAAATCTATTAAGCAAACAGGATTTACCATGCATGAATTCGAAGAGTTTGTTAACTACTGTCTTCAAAAATTTCCAGTGAGCTCTTAAAAATCGTGGATATTGACCTACTATGTACATGATATTTGATGCAATAATAGCTTTATTATCTTTGCCTCTTTTCTGTTCACATAATCCTAATAGATCCTGTAAAGTGAGAAAATTTTCAGTCATTTATAGTAAAATACACTATCAAGGTTCCAGTTCACACCTATCTCTTGCATACCTTTATAACAGTAACAAGAAATCGCTTTTCATCCTCTTCATGCATTGCTCCACTAATGGAGCCTATTGCCCAACACAATGTATTCAAATTCTTCCATGACCACTCCGTACCATTCACCTGATTGTGAAGCTTCTCGGTCATTATTCTTTCCGTATCTACATAATCCAGATGAGTAAGATAAACTACAAGGAAGGAAAAAAATTCCGTTTTAAAATGCAAAACTTAATGAGCAAAAAAGATTTTTACTAAGACCAACAGCACCCTAATAAGGATGGCTATTAACAGACTCAGAAACTAAGCATGCCTTGTTGCCTAAACAGTATTTCCACAAAAGAACAGAATTTTTAAAAATAAGGGTTAAATTAATAGTATTTATTAACTTACCTAATGTTTCTCTCATATTCTTATACAAATTTATGGAATCTGTATCCTTCATGAATTCTCTTACAACTTCTCCCTGATCATTTTCTACAACTAATACTTCCTCTGGTTTAGCCATTCTACTAACCATTAATAAACGGACCTATTCAACAATTAAAAAAAAAAAAAGTTAGATCTCTGAAATCAGTTACATCAAATATAACTCCCACTCTCAAAAAATGGCACTCAACACCAACATACGGAACAAAATCATGCCCACAATATAAAAGAATAAACATACTTAAAATGTAACTCTACAATAATTTTCAATCTAAACACGGACAAAAATCAACTGTTAACTTTCCTGCATCTCATTTGCATTCCTAACAAACTCAGGTTGTGCTTGGATAGATTCAGCCAAAAAATAAAAGCCAGCATTTTCATTTGGTCCTCCAAAATCAGAGAAAGCACACTCAACCACACACTGTTGTTACCTTGGACAATACAGGCAAATACAGCTGTCTCCTAGGAGGAACATCAAAATGCTGACTTCCAGATAGCAATGGAGAGGCAGACGTTGAGAACGGGCTCTCTCTATAGAGTTCAGCTGCCAGGTGATTCCAGTACTCAAGACAAATCTTAAAGATTTCAGTTTCCTCTACTTCAGATACCAACAACATATAATGAAGGGCCTACACAGAAGACCAAAACTATTAAAACAATCCTTAGACATTACTAATCAACCTTAAACTGCTTTCCATTTGCTATGTTAATGGGAAATAAAATTTCACATTGCTTTTTGTACACTCTCAAGTTTCATCATTTACCAAATATACAATAGGAATTGTATAGGAGCAAAGTGTGCTTTCTTCTGACATGCCCTACAACATGCTAAGAAACTTACATGACTGTAAAAAAATATGGACATCAAACGATATTTGGTAACAGCAAAAGGGAGAAATAATTAAAATGTTCAACAGATGAACAGACACAAAAAACGATGTATATCCATATAAAGGGGTATTATTCTATTCTGCATGAAAGGGATGAAGTACTGACATATGCTATAACATGGTAATATGTTAAGTGCAAGAAAGCAGTAACAACAAAAGTCCATACATTTTAATTCCAGTTATATGAAAGCTTTAGAATAGGTAAATCCATTGAGTTGTAAAGCAAATTACTTGTTGCTAGGGACTAGAGAGAAGAGCAGAATGGAATGACTTGCTTCAATAGGTACCTTTATCCTTCGTGGGTAATGAAAAAATGTTTTAGGATAGATAAGATGGTTGACAACACTGTGAATGTACTAAATGCCAGTCATGCAATTTGTGAATGTACTAAATACCACTCACACAATTTAAAAGTTGTATCTTGTTACACCTCTATTATAAAATAAGGTTCTTAAACTTTTCATCTTAGAAATGACCCATACGCACATTTATTGGAATTCAATTTTCATTATAAATTACTGATCTGGCATTGAGTAGAACATAGAAATCAGGACACTTGGCTTCTGACTAGAATTCAGAATTGACAGCATGTATTTGTATTGTGCAGACAAATAAGATAAAGAGTAAATCAAAAGAATGTTAGAACAAAAGCACAGTTTAAATTATTATTAATTTCAGAAGCCAAAAGCTCCACAAAGCCTACCTCCATGAGTGTTTCCCTGAGATTTAATCTTTTCTCTATAAGTTGACCATGTTCTTTAAGAAAGGTGCAGAGAAACAAACTGAGATTTTGAATAAAGTTCTGTTCATCATCCTTTCCATTTGAGTATGCAAGTCGAATATTGGTATTTAGAGGAAGCATCTGCAAATTTAAATATGGATCATAAGACTTCAAAATAACAACAAAGATACTACGTTTAAGTTCTAAATTTCCCCCATATTTAAAAAAAACATATGGAGTTAAATAGCTATCTTTAAAAAACATGCCTTGGTCTATTATATCCATTTTTGTACCTTTCTGTCCTAGCTTTTCTTTTTTAAATCAAAAGCATAGTAAGATTTCCTTAAAGATGATCCTTTGAAATTTTTCCTAAATCAGTTTTCCCACCTTAGTGTTATTAAAAATGTTCAAATATGTAGTTGATTCAGATTACAAACATATTATGTAGCAATGTAGTTTTATGATTAACCTTCTAGATAATTTCATATATACCTAATCAAACTAGGACTTAGCTGATTCCTTTATTTAAAAGATGGAAGGTCAAAGGCAGAATATTAAACCCCAACTGACCAAAACTTTAAATTCTGCAGAAATTAATTATCAAAACATTCCCAGAACCTTTATTTCAAGGATTCTCAAAATTTCTAGCTTACCCTTCATTTTATATAATAAACACAGAATTTCACTGCTCTATTAATGTCAAGCTGTGGTGAAATGTTTCAACTGAAATCCAACTTTTTTAAGGCACTAAAATTGTTTAGTCAGTTTAATAAGAGTGGTACATTACCTGTTTTAGCTGCATCATTGTCAGTGTAAATAGCGTTACAAATTGCTCCTCATACTGGCTTACACTCACGCCAGCAATCTCAGTGAGGCACTTCAGAGAGACATTTCGAAACATTGGAACATTCAGGAACTATTTTAATTAAAAGAACGGGGGGAGAGAGGGAGCATAAAATTAAATGGCCTGAAACACTTTACTTAAAATTAACAATTAAAAAAATAATGAAGGATTTAGAAATCGGGAACACTGGGGGAAAAAAATCCGGCGAATAGGTGGTGATACAGGTTTTTGGTACGTATATTTTAAGGAAATTTCATTATCCATCCAATGGACAGTAAAATTTAAAAGCAAACCGTGTTTTCTTTTGATGTGTCTTTAGACATCTGAAAAACACGAAGTTGCTTAGAAACTTTTCTCATCATCTGCTACATGACTTTTAAAAGACATGTTTTCTGTATAATCTGAAAATATTATAATTGTTTAAGATTCTAAGAGATCAGCAATATATCTAAGATTAACAAAGATGTAGGGAAACTGGCTCTTTCATATTTTATTGTTGAGAAGGAATAAATGTAGCCTCCCATTTGTGGGTGGCAATTTGATGAGCATCAAAAGCCTTAAAAATGGACATACTTATTGACCAACACTTATGTGTATTAAAATTTGCACAAAGTAAGTATCTGTACAAGTACATAAATGCCCAACATTTCCTGTGGTATTGTTGACAACAGCAAGCAATTTAAAATAAACTTTCTATTGATAAAGTGGTGGCTCCAACATAGTAAATTCACATTAGAACATGACCCCATCAAGTCCTGAACTACAAAGCCCCAAATATAAGTTATAATAGTCTGCTTTTAGAGGGTCTTGATTAAATACATAATTTATTCATTACATTTGATTAGAAAACATCTGAAAATACAACCAGTTGGTAATTGAATATCTCTGGATAAACAATTACAAGACTTTATATAGACATTACATTACATTACAACTGCAAACAATTAGTTGCTCACACAGAATATAAGAGACTGCCTAGTAAAGTGACAGTATCAAAAGATTCTGACACTGTTTTTAAAAATCAGTAGCTGAAACTGCAGAAAAGTTCTTCTCAGCAGTTTTCTCATCTCAGAAATAAGGCTGATTATGGTTATGAATGCAGACTGGTTTTTCTATTCAAAAGCATAGTTGTGCAAACTTTATTTATAAGAAAATAACTGAAATGCATTCACATACCTTATAAATTAAGGTGCTGATTAACTTGGTCTCAAAAATATATCCAAGCGGAATCCAGTTAAGAAATCTGAGCAACGTTTCTAAAGTTGCATGTACAAGTGGAGCATTTTGGGAATTTTCCTACAACAAAAACATGTTTTTCAATTAACATCTTCCTATAATAGTAGTTATTTTTAAAAACTGAAATTAAAAACACTTACCATCACAAACTGACAAAGCTGAAAAATTTGTGAAAATTCGTTGCACATGCTGAAGAAAAACAAAAAAGTGATCAGTTTAGAAGAAATGCTGTAACTATTTACAGAGTAACAACATTTCAGCAGCCATTAAAACCCAAGTTACTTCTATTTATAAACACAGGTATCAGTAATTTCATCGAAAGTTATGAAGTTGGGACGTTCCTGGTGGTCCAGTGGTTAAGACTCTGGCTTTGATCCCGGGTCAGGGAACTAGAACCCACATGCCACAACTAAGACATGGCACAGCCAAATAAATAAGTGTGCCGTGCTTGTATCTGACTCTTTGCAACTCGAAGAACTGGAGCCCGCTAGGCTCCTCTGTCCACAGGGATTCTCCAGGCAAGAATATTGGAATGGGTTGCTGTGTCTTCCAAGGATCTTCCCAACCCAGGGATCAAACCCGAGTCTCCAACACTGCAGGCGGATTCTTTACCGTCTGAGCCACCAGGTAAATAAATAAATATTTAAATAAATTAGTTACTAAAACTATGAGTAAATATCATTCTTTTAAAACTCACCTATAAAGGGCATGTTAATTTCCTTTCTTAAAGGTTTGGTTTTTATGTCATCCTTAATCTATTTGAAAAATTTCAATTAACATAGTCTTTTACTAAATTTTTTTAGTTTGGTCATGCAGCATGGCTTGCAGGATCTTAATGACCCAACCAAGGATCGAACCAGTGCTCCCTGAAGTGGAAATTCTGAGTCTTAACCACTGGGCCACCAGGGATATCCCTCAATCTAATCTTTTAAATTCAGACAGTTGAAATAAAACTCTCCAAATGGAAAGAAGCAGTGTTAGATATCCCTAATCCATTGTGCTTGCACAGCGAACCAGAGATAAAAATTCTAAATTCTGAAGCTAGTTTAAACACACAAAAGTAAAATATTTGTTCCATAATGACTAAACACATTTTTATTACTATGTTGAAGAAAATAAAATCTGCCATGTTTCTGGTGTTAACTATAGGAAAATGGATAAAATGTAGGAACAGCAGAATTCAGTAGACACTTGGACACAAGTCATATCCTTGGACCTGCAATTAACTAGGCACCATATAAAACAGACTCCCAAGAGCTTTCTGGGAATTCTTAATCTATATTCTTTCCACATAACATGTATGAAGTTACTTTGCTGTAATACCACACATCTTTTTCAAGCCTCCCCAATTTAGAATATTAGGCCATTAAAGCATTATGTAAATTTGGAGTAAAAAAGAATTTAAAATGTATTAACTTGTTTCTTAAATATTTATAATCTACCTCCAATTTCTTGAAATTGTTTGAAAAATTGCTTAAAAATTCTAAAGCAATTACTTGCCTGTCTTTTAAATGCTTAGCTTTCACTTGGGTTATCTGTCCACTAGAAAAATCAAATACTTCTTCACTCAAGAGTTTCAGAATCACCATGTTATTCTGACAGAGACTTTCACTGGTCCGACTTGCTCCAACAATGTCACTGATAAAAGTTGGCCAGTGTTTTGGCCACTCCTGTTTAAGTATCTAAAATAAAACAGAAAGTCTTAATTTCTTTTCACTTGTCAAGTGCAAATAAGCAAACCTCATAGAAATTGTGTGATATCAAAAGCAGAAGCAAATTATCAACCACCCTTCATTTTGTTCCCCTTTATCAAGACAGGAAATGTTCCAGTCTCTATATAGAATATACTGAGTAGAAACTACAAAGTCCTATGTCTTAAATGCTCCATTCTCTGGAAGGTTTTTGTACATATTTTAAAAGTTACGTAAATTAAAATTTTATAGTTAGATATATATAAAGTTTAAAAAACAGGTAAAGTATAAAGATCAATTAAACGGATGCTTGAATTCAAAGCAATTTTTAAATGCATCAGTAAGACTGAGATAGCTGACATGGAAAAGAAAGAAACAATATGAGGCAAAAATTTTTTAATGAGTCCAACCCATATTGGAGCCAAAGAAGTTTTTACAGTATTTGTAAATACTGTAGCACTCTTTGTAAATACTACCACAGCATATTAACAACCTTAAATGTTAGACAATGGGCTAACTATTGTAAACACTGTGAGGACTACTATCACCACTTTGCAAGATGTTTAGTTAATCAATAAAAGTAGAATAGAATACTTTGTTCAATTTATCAGCCTAATTCTCAGGGAAAACAATGTATCAAGTAAAATCTTACCTGGACAAGAATCATATTTAACTTCCCGATATATACTTTTTCTTTCTAAGAAAAGAAAGAAGTTTAAACGAGGACTTAAAAAAATTGATGTAATAAATAACAAATGCAGGCGGCCCCCCACCCATGCCCGGCAGAAAGAACAAAGTGACTGCAGATCTATCATAAATGATCTGCATATGTGTCTATATGTCTGTGACAGAAGTGGGTTTAAGATCAAGATCCAATATTTAAATGATTTTACACTCTCACAGTAGCTTCCAAAAAAGCTCTTACCTCTACACAAGTTGGGTCAGATGATGTCTTGATAATGAGGCCCACAACGTATTTTTTAATCCCTATTAAAAAAAAATTATTCAGAACTTTATAGCATGCTATAAAATTGGGTAGGGGGAGGGCAGAGTAAAGATCATATCAGATCATACACCTGAATCCAATCACCAGTTATGACATTATGGGCGAAAATGTGTACTACTACTTTTTCAGTTTTGTGAACAAAGACAAAATATTAGTTTGACAACTATGAATTATTATCTTCTAAGATAATCTTTAATGCTACACAGCCAACTATACCAAGCTGTGATTTTTAAATTAAAAAAACAAAAAACAAAAAACAAAAAAAAAACCACAACGGGAAACTTATGATTCCTTTAAAGAAACACAAAGTCAGATGCTAGTCCGTCAATTTATTTACAGAACTAAGCTAATCCTCTAAGTAATTTTACCTTGTTTGTTCTACAATGTAGAAAAAAAGTTAAGAAAAAAGCTTTTATTTATATTCTTAAGGATACCTTTATAGCATTACCTATTCTTTCAACAGTTAACATTTCATGTCTTTGATTTTAATTTGCATCATTCAGAATTTACTGGGCATCTATCTACTATACGTCCCCTCAAAATTTTAAAGTAATGTAGTTCACCTTAAATTAATATACTGAAAGGATCTGAAACAGGATTTCCTAATCCAACAAATTATCTCTCCCTATGAAAAATAAAGACTAATTTCACATCTGTTTAATAATTTAGTTTGCAAATAAATTACTTTGCCACCAAATGCTTTATGAAGATTTTCAAATTTTCAAAGCTATCTGAACTTCAGAAATACAAATGAAAGTTTATGAAACTGTGTCCCAACTCTCATCTAACAAATCTACATTGGACTCAATATCCATTGACCAATGCTAATTTATAAGAAACAGCTACCCAGAAATATAATCAACCCTAGGAAACAAAATGCCTATTTGATTGTAAAACTACCCCAATAGAGCAATTTTCATGAGTTAAGTGTTAAATTCACTCTTTGACCCCACAGTTCCTTCATTGGTAACTGAAAATAATTTTTATTAATAATGGTGGAACTGGCCATTTCAACATTCCAAATAAAAACAAAACTTTTAAACAGCATTAATTATAAAAATATTTTCCTAACTGATGAAAAATTTCACAAGTAAAACAAAGACACATAGTAAAGGTTATTAATCAATTGAAAATGCAACCTTAAGTATTATCAATATTCACAATATAAGAATCATTTGAAAAACTGCCTGCCAGTTACCAAAGATTTAACTATATATACACAAACACATATAATCCAGTGAAAACTGTTACTGACATTTTAAAAACTTCTACACTAGGCAAAGGTACCAGTAATAACTGTTGTAGACAGGATCCACCAATGAACATGCTGTGTGTGCTTAGTCAGTCGTGTCTGACTCTTTCTGAGCCCATGGACTGTAGCCCAGCAGGCTCCTCTGTTCATGGGGATTTCTCCAGGCAAGAATATTGGAGTGGGTTGCCATGCCCCCCTCCAGGGGATGTTCCCAACCCAGGGATCAAACCCAGGTCTTTCTCATTGCAGGTGGATTGTTTACCATCTGAGCCACCAGGAAAGCCCCAAAGAATGAACTGAATGATAAAACAAATGGGCAAAACTTCCAGGACAAACTAAGTTGTTAGTAGGAAAAACTAAATGGTGTAAGTACATTTTGTACTTATGGAGGCAACATTTTAGACAATGTTTCTGTTGTCTAAAATTATTAAAAAAAAAAAAAAAAAAGAGGCTTTGTGGACACCCAAAATAAAACCAGGTTTAGATTCAATAAAGTGATTTTAAAAAAAAGAAACACCCAGAACTAGGGGAACTAGTTTTATTTTTAAATGAGTGCTAAATCATACCATTTAGTTAGGATAACCCAGACAACAATCTCGTGTCCTTAATATCCACTAGATCATATCAAAACAATTCTGGTATCGTTGACCTTTCTGCTCTTTAGAGAAATTACTGTCATTAAGGCCCCTAAAAAATTAAGAAAAAGAGCCATTCTGAATAAACAGAAAACATCACTCTGAAACCTCTAAATTCAGGCAAAAACATGCAACAGTAGTGGGACTACAATTTCTTTTTTTTTTTTTTTTAAATATCTTTTATTTATTTGACTGAACTGGGTCTTAGTTGCAGCATATGAACTGTTAGTTGTGGCATGTGGGGTCTAGTTCCCTGACCAGGGATTGAACCCGGGCCCCTTGCATTGGAAGCCAGAGTCTTAGCCACTGGACCACGAGGGAAGTCCCCTGGGACTACAATTTCTACCTCCATGAGTTTGGAGGCTTCTCTCAGCCTCAGAAGAAAACAGAATCAGACTGAGTCTACAACTCTATTAGCAACTAAATAACTTCTTTTCAGAGACTTCTGAAATTCATCTATAAGAGGGAGCAAAGAGCAAAAGATGAAACGGGAAAAATGTGAAATAAGTAGTAAATACACACACACAACCTGTAAGGATCTGAGACAAAACTAAGTCTCAACTTGTTATCACTAACTATCACTCTAAAATGATCAGTGCCCATTCAAAGCACTGAAACTGCATGTGAAGACATTTTCCATCAAGTACTGCTGCACAGTGTCTGTTTAGAATCTCCTCCTGCTACACAGCTTATACGATTAAGTACCATAATGCCCTCCCCAAATTTCTTCCCACTATTTACCAAAAGTAAAAAAGTAAAAAGAGTCAATTAAGAATGGTTTTAAAATTGTGAATTACATCTTTGAAAAAAGAAATGGTGGGAATCCCCTGGTTGCCTAGTGGTTAGGATTTGGGGTTTTCACTGCCATGGCTTCAGTTCAATCCCTGTTTGAGAGGTAAAATTTTGCAAGCCATGTGGCTTAGCCAAAAGAATAAATAAATGGTGTCACACATATCAAGGTAGAAAAGTCAGATGTTTACAAGTAACAGAGAAAACTCGGCTTCTGAGATTTAACAGAAAACTATCCTAGACTTGACAAAAACAAAACCCCTTTATTCCCAGCATCTCTTTCTTTGTGCCTAATGAGCTAACTCATCTACCAGTTGGGGGGGAAAAAAACTTTTTTCAGTTTCTTCAGTTGTTTTATAAATAAAACAGATTTCTTAAAACAAGAACTATCTTTACAAGACTTCATATCCAATAAAAACCATACTAATCAGACATTATCTCTTTCCAATTATTCAGAAAGCATATGTGGAGAGACCAGGATACTCCTTCTAAGCTCTTTTCTAGAAACCAAGAAAACTTGTAAAATATATGTATTAAACATATCAAAGAACATTTCACTGAAGAGTTCTCATATGTAGGTTGTATGCCTCTGACAAACACAATTATGCTCTTACTGGTTACTATGCCAAGGTTTTCAAAGAACTTCTGCAATGATCCAGCACACTTTTATCAATAGCCCCCACACCCCATTCTTCTAAATAGGAACAAAAAAACTGACCTCCAAAGTTTTTAAAGTAAACCTTCAAAGCATTTACTGAAAGTACTACTTTTTTTAAACAAAGGACCATCCATGCGTAGTTTCTTCAAAATATGGTACACTAGTATAAAAATGCCCAAATTACTCACTGGAAGGTGGCTTATGGCACATGAATGCTCCTTATCCAAGAGTTTATGTATTAATAATCTTTTATAACTTATTTTTCTCAATATCAAGAAAAATGTCTTTGACAGTCTCATTTCTAATAAAAACAAAGCAACACCAAATAATCCACACAATCTCATAAACAGATAATAACAACAGTAGCTAACTAAAAAGGTGAGATTTAAGTACATGTAATTTCCAAAGAAATGCTCAAACTACCACACCATTGCACTCCTCTCACATGCTAGTAAAGTATGCTCAAAATTCTCCAAGCCAAGCTTTAACAGTATGTGAACGCTGAACTTCCAGATGTTCAAGCTGGTTTTAGAAAAGGCAGAGGAACCAGGGATCAAATTGCCAACATCTGCTAGATCATCGAAAAAGCCAGAGTTCCAGAAAAACATCTATTTCTACTTTATTGACTATGCCAAAGTCTTTGAATGTGTGGACCACAACAAACTGTAAAATTCTTAAAGAGATGGGAATACCAGACCACCTGACCTGCCTCAAGAAATCTGTATGCAGGTAAGGAAGCAACAGTTAGAACTGGACATGGAACAACAGACTGGTACCAAATAGGAAAAGGAGTACATCAAGGCTGTATATAGTCACCCTGCTTATTTAACTTATATGCAGAGTACATCATGAGACATGCTGGGCTGGAGGAAGCACAAGCTCGAATCAAGACTGCCGGGAGAAATATCAATAACCTCAGATGTGCAGATGACACCACCCTTATGGCAGAAAGTGAAGAAGAACTAAAGAGCCTCTTGAGAGAGTGAAAAAGTTGGCTTAAAACTCAACATTCAGAAAACTAAGATCATGGCATCTGTTCCCATCACTTCATGGCAAATACATGGGGAAATAATGGAAACTATGACAGACTATCTTTTCTTGGGCTCCAAAATCACTGCAGATGGTGACTGTAGCCATGAAATTAAAAGACGCTTGGCTCCTTGGAAGAAAAGTTATGACGAACCTAGACAGTATTTTAAAAAGCAGAGACATTACTTTGCCAACAAAGGTCCGTCTCGTCAAGGCTATCGTTTTCCCAGTAGTCATGTATGGATGTGAAAGTTGGACTATAAAGCTGAGCACCAAAGAATTGATGCTTTTAAACTGTGGTGTTGGAGAAGACTCTTTGGAGTCCCTTGGACTGCAAGGAGATCCAACCAGTCCATCCAAAAGGAAATTAGTCCTGAATGTTCTTTGAAAGGACTGATGCTGAAGCTGAAAACTCCAATACTTTGGCCGCCTGATGCGAAGAACTGACTCATTGGAAAAGACCCTGATGCTGGGAAAGATTGAAGGCAGGAGAAGGGAATGACAGAAGATGAGATGGTTGGATGGGATAACCGACTCAATGGACATGAGTCTGAATCAACTCCAGGAGTTAACGATGGACAGGGAGGCCTGGGGTGCTGCAGTCCATGGAGTCGCAAA